CACAATGTGTGAAGGAACGGGCTTAGGCATGTTACCAGCCCTGCCACAAACGAGAGTGAGGCCGTCGACATAGATCTGGGCGCTGGCGTCCGGGACGATTGCCGCACACGAGCGACCCAGCCACGCGGCGTAACGGCCCCATGTAGTGGGCGAACTCAGACTCCCGGCCCCAAACACGAGGCGTCGAAGATAATGATCTCCATCGCTCCTGCCGAGTTTGGCTTGGGTCGGGCCGCCACTGCGAATCTTTTGACGGGATGTTCATGAAGGCATCCTTGATGTCCACTGCTGCCAACCAGGGCGCGCGTCCTTCCCGATAAACTCGAATCGCTTGCAGGGCCACGTCGAGCAATCGAGGGAGGATGATGCGTTCACCTTGATGGTTGGTTGGCTTTGGACTCCCTCAGGTCCCATATCATTCGGCTCTTCTTGACACCTTGGGATCGCGTCAGAACTGGGGTCTGTCCCAGCTCCTTTGTGGCCTCCTCCATCCACCACATGGCAGAACCCACGGTTGATGTGGTCCTCCACCCATGTGTTCAAGTCGTCTGCCTCCTCGTCGGCTGACTTGTAGTTCTGCCAACCTTCGACAGCTCGACGCAATTCCTGTTTGTTGGGAAGTGTTGCCAGCCTCGGCCTTGGTACTTACTGGAAGATTTTCGACGAGGGTATGCCTCACTGTACCCCACACGCGCTGTGGTCCAGCCAATGGGAGAGGTGTTTGGTGCCTGGGTCTTTGGCCGCTGCCTGCCATGCTTCGATGATGCCTGCGTTCAGTGGCACGTGTGCCCGCGCCTGCCCAGGGCTTCCGCGACTGCCAGCCGGTCTACGACCTCTGCCGGGAAGGGTTTTGCCACTCGAGCGGTGAGTATGTCACGACCAATGCCCGTGAGTTTGGGCTGCCATCGCACCAGGCTCCAGCATGCGCGGCATCCGCTGTATTGCGAGGTGATAGAGGTGCTCTGTTGAGAGCTCCTCCTTCTTCCACTTGTCATCCACGTTCTTGTGGATGGCGACGGCCAGGATCTTGCTCAGCAGGGCTGCGTACTCTCCGCATCTTGCCTTCCACTTTCTCGCACCGTTGCACAGTTGTATTGCGCGCAGCTTGGAAGGTGGAGCCGTCTTCTCGAGTCCACGATTTCTTCTCGCGGTTGCATCTTTTGTCCTTTTTTCAAGGCTGACAGGTCCATCCCTGGGTAGAAGGCTTGGTAGTGTCCAGCCCGGTGATGCACTGCCTCGTGACGTCGACTGCTGGCCATGATGGGAGCTCCCTAATCCGGGGCATGTGCCACAGACAGGGTTTGTCTGGAGGGTGATCCGGGTTCTCCAATCCCCGTCTTTTGATGCAGCTTCAAGGCCACCTTGTAGGACCGATGTGTGAAGATGTTGGAATCGTGAAAATGGGCTTCTTCGCCTTTGTGGGATTCGGGATGCCCGTGATGTAAGCGAGCGCGCGTATCACCCTGGGCCCCAGAGGCTTCTTTCCTCCAGCAAGGGCAAGCAATCGCCTGGTGTGGTCCCAAGCGCTTGTTGCACTGGTGGGAGCGTTTGGACTTGCACTTTCCTTGGGCCTGCTTGGAGCCGCACTTGTCGCCATTGTAGAGGCGCAGATTTCGACACCCCTCCACTTGTGTGGGAAGGCGCCGTCGGACCCTTTCCGGGATTTGATCCCTGGCGCGTCCTCCGGCCCAGTGTATACCACAACCTCGGTGCTCATGACCCACCTGTGGTCCGACTCACTTGAGCCAAAATGGCACGTACAAAAGGGAACCTCAACCACACTCGCGCACTGTCAACCCCACATACATGTGTTCTATCGACAATTTCTGTCTGCGATTTCTTTCCGTTTCCACGTCAATGGTCAAAATTTAAAGGTTTTTAATCTAGTGATCGTTATAGAAAAACATGAGGAGTTATCCGGCCCTACAATCTTAAACTGTCCTATTCATTGTTTACATGTGCTCCTGAACCCCCTTTACATTTCCTATAAAAAAATCCTGCGCAATTTCCCTTTAAATCCCCTTTCAAATGTCCTTTAGTAAAATTGTCCTTCTAAATGTCCTTTTCAAAGCCTGCGCATGCTTCATGACATGTTGTGGACGCTTGAGTGAGATCTGGATAGCCATACCCGAACCTATTTCTAGGCTTAAAAGGTAAAGGCGGGAGGGGGCGCAGGGCAGGGCACAGCACCTCCCCCGCAACGCAAACTAGTAACAACAGCAGTCTGACCGGTTCGGTTCATAACCATGGCACAGTTGGTTGGTTTGTGGCGGTGTAACTTGGCACGACTGGCGCGACCAAAAAAACAGACGCCACGTTTCTGAGTCTTCCTTTGATAACTGCAACGGTCTCAGTCTCTGCGCTGCGTAAGCCTTTTAAAATGCTTAGCCCTGCAAGAGACCCCCAAAAAGTGCATGTGAGGCCTAGAGGTGTAGCAGCAGGAAGTCTAGAGATCTAGGGTTCTGAGAGGCGATGGTGGTGATGAAGGTGGAGATCGTGGTGATGGCGGCGGCGGTGGCGAGTTTGAGTGAGAGTGAGAGCGAGAGTGTGAGTGTGAGTGTGAGAGGGTGAGTGTGAGAGTGAGTGTGAGAGAGTGAGTGAGAGTGAGGGTGAGAGTGAGAGAGTGAGAGTGAGAGTAAGAGAGTGAGAGTGAGAGAGTGAGAGTGGGTGTGAGAGAGTGAGTGTGAGAGAATGAGTGTGAGAGAGTGAGTGTGAGAGAGTGAGTGTGAGAGAGTGAGTGCGAGAGAGTGAATGTGAGAGAGTGAGCGTGGGAGGGTGAGTGTGAGTGAGTGAGTGAGTGCGTGCGTGAGTGAGTGAGTGAGTGGGTGGGTGGGTGGGTTGGTGGGTTGGTGGGTGAGTGAGTGAGTCAAAGCCTTTTCAAGGTCCATTGCGACCTCCGGCTGCCTTAGAGTGCACATACAGGACACACATTTAAACCAGGCTTAGTTTGCTAGGTTCTTTAATGAGGTTTGGGCTGGTTCCCGACCCCTCCATTTGGTTCCCTTTTCATTCTTCCCCCTTCACACAGACTTTCTTTCCTCGTTTCGTTTCATGTCTTTCCCTGTTTCATGTCTTGTCATCTCATTGCTTTCTTTCTCTTGCGCGCACAACGGCCCGGCCCTTAGCGCGCACGCGCGCAACCTACCTTCAACCCAGGTTTCAGCTCGCTCAGGTTCTGACAATGAGGTAGGGTTCACCGTACACTTTTGCCGTCTCGTCCTCCTTCTCATGTCTTCATCCTGTTGCCCCTGCTGCGCGCGCACGTGCACACTAGACTAATTTTGCCTCCCTAATCGGGGGGCGTGTGTGTGAAGCCCTTGGAATCATAGGGATTCCTTTAAATTTCTTTCTGGCAGGGGGCCAGGCAGGGTACATTGTCGCCTGGGCAACGAAGCTGGCAATGTACCTGAGGATATGAAAGTGGGACGCCACTTTCACGTACCTGCTGCTGAGTTGCGGTGTTTACTTGAAGTTCTTTTTAGCAGGGACAAGGCAGGGTACATTGTCGCCTCGTCAACGAAGCTGGCAATGTACCTGAGGATATGAAAGCGGGATGCCACTTTCATGTACCTGCTGAGTTGTGGTGTTTACAAGCTGTCCCTGGAGGCTGTCCCTCTCATCTTCCATAAAGGGCTAACGCATTCGGCAGATGTGCGCGGACGTCGTCACCTCGTCGTTTCGGGATCGTCGACTTTGCATGTTGAGATTTGGGCCTCACCTTTCTTCTTTTTGTTGGACCTCCAGGACCCTCAGACTTCTTACACGAATTTGGGTACCTAGGTTCTCAGACTTGAGGATGATCAGACCGCCTCAACATATCCTGACCTGGTCCCTTAGGTTTTCACTTAGGTTGGCGGGTGGCAAACTGCAATCAAGTCAGTAAGCAATATCTTGAGTGCGTGTGTGTGTGTGTGAGTGCGTGCGCGCGCGCGTGTGCGTGCGTGCGCGTGTGCGCGCGCGCGCGTGTGCGTGCGCGTGTGCGTGTGCGTGTGCGTGTGGGTGTGTGTGTGTCCACCTCTGTAACTAAGAGTTTCTGTTTTTCTCAACTTTTAAGTCGCAGGGGGCGTGACGGTCGATTTCCTAGTCACGCCAACGAAGCTAGGGAAATCGACTGGATGGAAGTTTGCACGCAAACTTCTGTACCTGCGCGGATGAAAACTTTTGCACACGCTATGACTCCACTTTTCCTTTTGTCGTTTCCATGGTGGTTGTTCGCACGATATCCCCCAAAACAGGTTTCCTTAGCTTTCGTAAAGTGCTAGTGCGTTTGTTAAGCAGTTCTGTTCTTCGGACCCTTGCACCTTACCGTTCTTGCAGTAAAGGGCTAACGCAGTAACTAGCTTCCGCAGTCAAGTGAACAACTCCTTTGTTAAAGCACCTTCAAGTGCTCCGACTCTTTCACCTTTCGGTTCCATCGCCATTTTTCCTGGGAATTGAGTTAACTGCAAGCCAATGTCAGAGTGTGTGTCGGTGTTGGAGTCAAAGGGGCCTGTTTGGCTTTTTTGTCCTGCTTTTTCAGCAAAGGGAGAGGGCTCGCGGCTCGTGAGGTTCATTCCAACGAAGCTGCTTGGATGCTACAGCTCAATTTCCTCGTGGTCCCATCGGTTTGCTTTCCGCAGTCACACATTGAGCCTTGGATGCGCGAACCTTTGGATTGGATCACTCGAACTTTAGTTTTGGCACCGTTGAAACTTCACTTCGGCTTCTGCTAGGCATTGGGCAACTTTTGTACATACTCTTATCTTGAGTGTGTGCGCTTCTTGACTGCGTCTTTGATTGCTGTCTCTTGTTGCGTTTGGTCAGGCATTGGGTAGTGCCCTGCAGCAGCGGCCACGATAGGGTGGTCTATTTGCTCTAAAGTCTAGCATAGTCTAGCCCAATCCTGTCGGGTGGGGAACAAAGGCTACCTAAAGCTCAGATTGAACCAAAAGCCAACACATTTGAACGTTCTTTGACTCTAGGTTCTACGGTGTCTCACTTTTGGTATGTGAGATCCCAACGCCCCTGAGAACAGCCCTGCGACGAACATGCCTCCTGCTCCGGCCTGTCAGAGTCTACTCATCAGATGCGCTGGCCACAATAAAAATACATGGAAATTGCACGCACACCCAAGGAGAACGACACAGGTAGCAGTGAAACAGTCGACAATTCTAGTTGTGGTGTGACAGTCCTTGTCAGCATTGCCTGTCGCTGATCTTCTCAATCGACCTGACATATGCAACGATGAAGGATTAATGAAACAGCTTTTCTCGACACATTGTGCATTGTACTGGGCAGATGGGCAAAAACCATCTCGGAAGGAAGCATACAGGCCATTCCTGCCATTCACAAAGCTTCTGTGCGCTCTTCCGTCGCGCGAGAAACCTATTCCACCGGAACTGTTTTGGAGGGTTCAAAAATTCTTCAAATGGTTCAACTGGAACCGATTTCCCGGAACTGGCGAATCAAACACAAATGAATACGATATCACAGCAAGACAAAGCAATGAGCTCTTGCCTCAGCCCAATGCAGCATGCCATGGAAACCACATTGGGTAATAGCCCTGGCCTATCCCAGAAAGACATCGTTCGATCGCCGGATTCTGCCCGCAAAGAGTCTGGTGCTGTTTTGCAATGCCTTGAAAATTACACTGCACCTCCAAAGGCCTGTGAAGATACCTTCCTGCAACAATACAGTACTGAACTCCACAAAAAAAAGAGTTGTGAGGCAGTTGCACTTCTAAGCACGTCGTTCGGTCCTGCAATAGGACTAAGCGAGCAAAACCAAATACATTTACATGCCTCAGGCGCCGAATGAATGTTTTGTTTTTGGTGAGAAACGAACCCATCAATGATCCTGTGAATCAGTTCTAGTAGCGGTGTCTGTTGCATCCTCACTAATCATTAACTGAACAACCAGGAAAAGCACTTGGTGCAGAAGCATTGCTGGCTGCTGGTAAGGCACCGTGTTTGGGAAGCTTTGCCGGCCTTGGCCGCATGCCCTTCAAATTGGTCTCTGTCCAAGTGCAATAGTTGTGTTCGCATGTTCTGAGGCTCCGGCTACCTGCCAACGGCACTTCAGCGTGTCTATGGGATGGCTCAAAGAGCTGACAACAAAGCCTTCTCGCCCGACGTCTGTGACAACGCTTAAAGTTCAAAGTCTGGAAGGAAACTACAAACATTGGAAGATTCCTACACTGGTCCTGTAGAAGAACTTGCTGCCAAATTTGCCAATAGTTGTCTTGGTTTTGCTCCCGTCGGCCTTTGTGCGAACACCAGCGCGCATATACCATATACAAGAAGAATGCGTTTTGCAAAAACGTGCAATTGTCCCATCAAACCATCAAGAATCAAAGTTCAACCGCGCTGCAGCTCGGCCATGGCCATGCTTTCATGTCATTCCCAGGGCGGCACGGGTGGGACAGATTGCATCATTGTAATCTATACATATTATCTTCAAAAAGATCTAGGAGCCATTGATACCATGTTGATTCACTCGCAGGAACAACAGAAGTAGTAGTCCATGACAATCATGCGAAAATATTCAACTTGAGGTATCCTCACCCACATCATCTAGGCTATCTGCTCAGGAAGTCTGGCTCATGGACATCACAAAGTTGTGCAAGAAACAATCATGTATGCATTGAACGTACGTACGCATGTATGTACATGTGTTGTGTGTGTATATCTGTATGTCTGTATGTCTGTCTGTCTGTCTGTCTGTCTGTCTGTCTGTCTTGTATGTATGCACGGACGGACGGACGTAGGTAGGTAAGCAGGATGTATATATGTATGTATGCATGTGTGTATGTGTGCACGCATGCAAGCATGCATGCGTGGATGGATGCAAGGCCGTGTGTGTGTGTGTGCGGTTATGCCTGCATGTATGTATGTGTGTACGTACGTGCGTTGTGTGTGTATATCTGTATGTATGTATGTATGTCTGTCTGTCTGCCTGCCTGTCCGTCTGTCCGTCCGTCCGTCTGTCTGTATGTCTTTTTCCTAAAGTTGCTTGGTTGGTGCCCTTTTGGCGGTGCCTGAACTACGGCCTTTGGCCTCATGGTGCGCGGCTGCCCTCAAAAGAAGTCCACTGTGTAGTCATGTTCAAGGGGTTCTTCTTCTGCAGCTTCTGGTGAGTCTTGCGCAGCCTGTGCCTCTGGGGCGGTGGCTGGTGACATCTCTGGCGCTGGTGTGCCAGTGGCCGTGAAGCGGAGCTTCTTTGGCGCTGGTGGTGACATAATGTCAGCAGCGTCTGCCTCTCTTCTGGGTGTGGTTGGTGGCGCCTGTGTTGCGGTGTCGGTGGCTGCTTGTGTGCTTTTAGCTTGGGTTCCAAAGATCTGGAGCAGCGTTGGCGATCTCTGGGTGTTACCCTGGCATGCCTTCGTGAGCGTCTTGGTCAGAACCAGCCTCTCTTCTGCATCCAAGTGGCTCTGGGTCCCGCAGTTGAGACACTTGATCCCTTTACCTTTCTGCCACAGGGAGTGGGTTGTGTGTCCTGCATGGGGCTTTGTGTAGCACTCATCAATGCAGCGGCTGCGGATGAAGGCTTGGAAGCTCTCTTCATTGGTTCTTTTGTGGATGGAGAGGCTACACTTGGTGCACCTTAGGTACCCGGTCGTTTCTTGGAGATTATGACCTCAACAGTTAGGGCTTGGTGCACCCTTGTATGGCACGTGTGACATTGAAACCCGCTCCTGTGAGGTTCCCACTGGTGCTTCTCTGGCTTGCACGGGAGCTTGCGCTGGTTAATGAGCCGCTTCTTGTACTGCTTGGTGTTGTGCCCTGCTCTGCGGACTGGTTTCTCATGGATGTAGTGTTGTGGAGCTTTGTATATCTTCTCGAGCCTTGCTGCCGCATGTTTGTAGATCTGGAGGTGGTCTTGGTCAAGTGTCCTTTGCCAGGCTTCTGCACGCTGATCGAAGATTGTTGCATAGGCGGCACAGGCGGCATCCCTTTGCCTCCTCCTGAGGTGGGGCTCGCTGCCTGGTGCATCTGGGGTCCTCTGGTTCTTGTGGATGTACAGAGGTGTGATGCGGAGGTCCTCATCAAAGCCCTTGGGAAGGTCTTCGAAGCCTTTCCTTTTGCTGGGATTAGTCCAAGCTTCCCAAACTGAGCCTAGCTGTACGATCACGTTGATCGGGGTGAGAACATGCTGGGCTAGTCTGATGAGGCCTTGGAACAAAGCCCGGGCTTTGGTCTGTCGACCTGGCGCCATGCCCGTTATGGTTCCTTTCCTCAGTAGTGTCCCCTGGACACAAAGTGCGAAAATCCACGCCTGGGATCGCTGGTCACCTGCTGGTTCTCTGTTGTTGGGCCTCATGATGCAAGGTTTGCTCAATGGTCGCCCAGTCATCGTGCATGTTGATGTGGGCTTCAGTCACGAAGGCGGTTTCGTGTCTGTGCCAGTGGTAGAGATTGTCCGTGGTCCATCCCCATTCCTTGAGATAGCCCTTCACATGATACCAGAGGTGTTGGTGCTTGCGCAACTGGTTTCTGAGGGTGATCCAGGCTTGCTCGATGTGCTGGCGGGGGTCTGCGGGAAAATGGGTGATGAGGGTATGCAGAGCCCTGATGTGCTGGATCACCACCTGATCTCCTGGGTCGCCAAATTTCATGCTGACTTGGTCGTAAATGACATCTTGGAGGCCACCTTGGTGAAGGCCTAAGTGGACCAGGGACTGCCGGAGTGCCAGCCTGAACCGGGGCGCCAGTCCTTGCCCTTCAAAGCCCCAAAAGGCCACTGGTTGGACTCCTCCTCGATGTAGGCGGATCCTGGTGCGGAGATTGGGGAGCTTGAGACTGCGTAGCTTGATCCGCCGTTGTTTGTGTTTGCGGAAGCGTTGTTGCAGTGTAGCTATCCGCCGCCGTCTGCCTGCTGAGTGGTCAATGCCCAAGTCTGGCATCACCGTTTGGATTGGTGGATCGTTGGGACTCAGGAGTTTGGCCAGCTCCTTGTGGATGATCTTATCTGTGACGATGAAGGCCGTTTTGTGGCTGTTGACAACCAACCCAGCCGCAATCAGCCCGTCTTGAAGCTGGTGCCAGGCCTGTAGTGTTCGCTGGGCTAAATGCTGTGCATCAGTGTGGCTGCCATCAAATCCCAAAATCCACCCATCCATTGAGGTGCAGGTCTGGGTTGTCCTGTTGGAATTGGGTGAGGATGGGCTACCCCGGTTGTGACATGGAACCATGGGCTGAGTTCCCCTTCGGCTAGGATGGCCTTGCGTCCTGCGTAGACTTGCATTGCAAACTCCAGTGCCAAGGGTGGGTATTCATGTCCAGCAGTACTGTGATTCCATGTTTGTCCAGGGATTTGGGTCTCTTGGCGGAGTAGGCGTTCAAGAGCTACATGGAGCGCGGTAGCTCCTGGCCAAGCTCTATCATAGTCAATGGAGGGTGGAAGTCGCTGTTGCCATGCATCCAGGATTGGCTTCCTCATCTGGCACCAAACTCTGTACAGTACGCTGGTGAGGGTAATTGGCCGTTCGACTTTTTCGTTCTTTGCAAGCATGACTACCAGGCTCATAGTGAGCTGGGTTGGTAGTTCAGCCTTTGTCTCCATTTCTTGGAGGATGCCGAGGAGAGGTTGGAGTGCTTGCTTGGGCGCTGTGCGGAGCAATTGGGTGGTAATTGCATCCGGTCCACATGCTTTGTCTGGGAGTTTTTTCAGGGTTTTCCCAAGCTGTTCATATGTCAGCGGTGGCAATTGGGCTGCTTGCTGTTTGGCGGCATCTTGTAGAGGGAGTCTCGTCATGACCTGGTTGTCCTTGGTTGGCTTCCATAGTGCATGCCACGCATTCATCCGGTGTCTCATGCGGTCAGCCATGGGGACGTCCCTGTATGGTCGTTGCCAGGACAGCTCACTCGCCTTCAAGGAGCGGAAGAGTCCTTTGAGTCTTTTGGCTTCTCCTTGTCTGATCCACTCCGCATATTGGAGGTGGGACTCCTCTCGGTTTTGTTGTTGCGCTTCTTCAAGTTGGTGCTGCACAGTGTGTTGGAGCAGCTCGAAGGTGCGTTCATCACGATATTGTTGCCAGTGCTGTTGTGTGTCCAGGAAGTGGTGCTGGACTTGCTGTAGAGCTTGGTTAAGCCCTTTGATGGCCCCTGGTGCTTTGTTGGGCTGGTTCTGGATGAGGTTGAGTCTGGCCTGAATTTGTTCCCAGTAGGCTGCTTTCCCTTTCTTCCACATGCCACCCGATTTGGCTGGTACCAAGGGCTGGTATTGGGTGGTCAAATTGGACGCTCTGCCTTGTGGTGCCCATGGATGTTGTTGCAGGAGATACTGCTCGGTGATGGACACCCAATCCGCTAACCCTCTGGCACTCTGGTTGGGTGTGCTTTCGTAGAGAGTGAGGTCTTCAACCTGCGCGATGAAACCAATGTCTGGCACATGAGGCAGCGGTGGGAAAGTCCGGGGCGGTAATGCCTGAAGTCGTCTTCCAGTTCTAGGGCACAAGTGACCAGGCAGTGAGGTCGCCATGGTACCGCCCATTCAGTTGTCATGGAGGCACAGGAAGCAATCGTTTGGTGCATGATGGCGTAATCAACTGCGTTGCCATTGATCGGGCGCCAGTATCTGCCAGTGG